CAAGTGTAGATCCCCATTGTGTTGGTCAGAAATTGGTGATAAACAGCTAACTGGACCCGATGTTATCCAAGAAACCACCGATAAGGTCGTAGTAATCAAAGACCGACTCAAGGCTGCTAGGGATCGACAAAAAAACTATGCCGACAACCGGAGGAAACCTTTAGAATTTCAGAAGGGTGATAAAGTTTTTCTAAAGGTCTCGCCTTGGAAGGGAGTTATGCGTTTTGGAAAGAAAGGCAAGTTGAGCCCTCGCTATATTCGTCCTTTCGAAATAATAGAAAGAATTGGACCAGTGGCATATAAGCTAAATCTGCCCCTAGAATTAAGCGCTATCCACGACACATTCCACGTATCAAATCTCAAGAGATGCCTATCAGATGAAACCCAGGTTTTACCCCAGGAAGACTTGCAAGTTTTTGATCGACTGCATTTTGTTGAAAAACCCTCGGAGATCTTGGATAGAAAAGTTAAGCAGTTGAGACGTAGTAGAATACCCATCGTGAAGGTTCATTGGAATTCCAAGAATGGACCGGAGTAAACGTGGGAAAGGGAAGACTTCATGAAGAACAAGTATCCCCACCTTTTCTCAAGCCAACCATGAATTGAAGCGCAGACGATTAAATTTCGGGGCAAAATTTTTCTGGGATGGGGAGACTGTAACAACTCTACACTTTTGGATTTCCAGGTTAGAACCTTATTACGGGATCTTTATTTGAAAACTAAGTCTTTTAGGGTTAGCCTTATCCAGAATAGGATCCTGAAGAGGTCATCTAAAAGACCAGAGGATAGAACAACCAAAGGCTCTGGTCTGTACTAACACAGAGGCTCTGGTGACAGCTACAGAGACTCTGGTGTCTCTTCACAGAGACTATGGTGTCTCTTCATAGATGCTCTAGTGTCTCTTCACAGAGACTCTGGTGTCTCTTCATAGATGCTCTGGTGTCTTTTCACAGAGGCTCTGGTTCTTCTTACAGAGGCGCTGGTCGCCCATACTTGATCGATTCAGCACAGCAGCTGGTCTTTTTCCAGACTTGGACGTTTTGGCACAACATCACTTTCAGGAGTCCAATCCTTAGCCCCGATAGCTTAATAAAACTTTTTAAGAACATCATTAGCATTAAATGAATGCTAACAGATCGTCTTATTTACCTTCTAAAGATTAGTTTTAGATCATATTCAGGCGGGTAGTTGACCAAGTTGGTTCATGCAAATGCCAATCAAACTCGAAACGTTTCACATAAATAAAGTTGATATTTTAGTCTCGTTCCTTTAAAATTTTAAAGTTTTCCCAAAAGTCTCAATTCCCTTTTTTTAGTTGCCAACTATTTTAAAAGAGTGGCGATTCAAAGGTCCTTGTAAAACCGTTTTGGCTATTTTAGATTTTTGGGACTTAGCTTAGGGAAGTAAAAGCCCCTTGGGTTTGGGCCTTAAGAGGCCATCCCACTGCTCCTCTAAAAGCCCCAAATAAATACCCCCATCTCTTTTGAAAACTCTTCATTCTTCAAAAGTTCCAACCTTTTTCGTTCTCCCTCTCTAAATTTCATCACCTTCTAGCCGAATTCTTCCCCCTGCAAGTTTAGAAATTCCGCCGCATTCGGGTCAGTGCTCAAATTCCTATTCTCTCTTCCTACTCAACTCAAGTTTCGGGATTTAAAGATGGTGAGATTATCCATCGAAGACTTACATGTGTCTTCATCAGATGATAATCTGTGACCCAAGGATCTTTTAATCCCAAAGAGAAGAAGAGAGTTCTCGCATATAAGGACCGATTGCACATTCGGGTGATTTGGGTCTTGCATGCATCTCTAAATCAATTCTCTCATTTTGTAGCTTACTGGAACCAAAATTCTCATTGTTTTATTTTCTTTTCTGGAATTTATTTAAGAGATGAGGATTTTGGTGTTAAAAGTCTCGATTCTTGAAAATATTGAGTTCGAAACCGTCCCCATTTTTTTTTTGCTGCCATTCTTGGGCATGCAACCGGATTTGGGGAGGCGAGTGACTCAAGGTTGTAAATTATTCTTGGGAAGGGTGTTAAACCCACTCAAAATCTCTTGATTCCGATGGTTGGCGGCTGCCATCATTTGTCTTGGAATGACATTTAATGATACCATTAATTAGATTTTGGGAGGTTTCTCTTTAACCAAATAATTGAAATATCGGCTATATTTATGAAAATATTTGGCGATATTGTATTGAAAACAGCTTTACCCAACCTAAGTCATGGAAATTTAGAAGTTCATGTTAGTATTGGTTGCTCTGTCAGGAAGTCCGAGCAAGCGATAGCAG